TGTGTAGTATCTTAACAGTTCATGTCCGTGGGAAAGAGTTGGTTTCTGGATCCACATTAAAGGGCTGCCTTCACCTGGTGGATCTAGCTGGAAGTGAGAGAGTGGATAAATCTGAAGCCGTTGGCGAGAGACTGAAGGAAGCCCAACATATAAACAGGTCTCTTTCTGCACTGGGAGATGTTATTTCCTCTCTTGCTCAGAAGACTTCACATATTCCTTACAGAAATAGCAAGCTCACCCAAGTGTTACAGGATTCTCTAGGTAATATCACGCACTTTGCTGATTTAATTTGTCAACAAATTCACCTCAGAAGTATGCCTAGTGCTACAGAGCTAGTTGTTGGTCATTTATCTCTGAAGCATTACAGTTGACGGATCAGTTTTCATCTTTGACTTAGGTGGTCATGCAAAGACGCTGATGTTTGTGCATATAAATCCCATGGTTAATGCTATAGGAGAGACAGTAAGTACCCTGAAGTTTGCCGAGAGAGTGGCCTCAATAGACCTTGGAGCTGCTCGATCTAATAAGGAAAGTGGGGAAATTCGAGAATTTAAAGATGAGGTTAGCTCTAGTTTGATAACTTATTTACTTTCAGAGTCAATTCGTTTTCTACTAGTGACCAAAACTTACTCTTTCCTTGTTTGTACAAGATCTCAAACCTCAAGCTCACATTGGAGAAAAAGGATGCTGAACTACAGCAACTAAGAAATGGAGCCAGTATAAGAGGTGCTATATCACCTCTGCGTATGCCAAAATCCAATGTCACTGCCAGCATGAAGCCTGAAAATAATCAGCGTACCATTGACGACACTCGAAGCTCCGAGGTACATGACAGAAACCTTTATACCAATTACATACCATACAGAGAGTTGTAGGGTTATGATATTCTAAGGTATTACCTAACTAGCAGTGATCATTGAACATCCTTTTGGAAGTTGGAAGTCTGACTGACTAATGTGCACTTTTTATAATGCACGAAGTCTTAACCCCCTAAGTCCTGGTTGAACTTAATTTCAGGTAAGAAGCTGTTCTTCAGGCAAGCAGAGGAGGTCCCGGTTCCCGGCTAAGTTCACCGACAAGGATATTGTACCAAAAATTCCTTTCCTTGCTGAAGAGAGATCTGTAGGTTTCAATAAGGCAAGATCACCATCCCCACCTGTTAGAAGATCAGTTTCAACGGATAGGAGTGCTGTCATCAGAAGTAGGATTAAGCCTGAGACACTTGATAACCCACCGGTCATGAGACTACCTTTTCCAGCAAGAGTCCCTACAAACAAATCCATGGTTGCTGTACCTTCAATTGTTCCATCAACAGATAGTTACACAAGGTCATATCCGGCTTCTCAAGAGCCACCAGTTAAGCAGGATAACATTTCTGAGACACTGCACAGTCTCCAAAGAATTGTCTCCAGAAAAGTTAATGTAGAGCATGATGATCAGGAGCAGTTTAAACAGGCACTTAATGTTCGACAAGGTGGTATTAGGAAAACTAAACCTGAGAGTAAGGTTAAGAGCAAGCATCAAAATATTACTAAAAACCAAAAGTCTGACATTGGAGTTACTCTGCTTACTAATGTGGACAACGGTAGAATGATGGAAGAGGCTCAGAAAAGCGAGTTCTTGGAAATAGAAAATGAGCACGGTGATGAACGTGTTGGATCACCAGTTTATGGTAATACCATGAGGTTGAAAAAGCTTCAGAGGAACTTCTCGAGGAACTCTCAAAATGTTGAACCTAGGTATGGATAAACATTTAATCATTGTAACTTTTGAGTACGAGCTCTGTCAACTTCTTAAAGGTTTTCTTTGTATCAGCAAATAAATCTAAAACGCTGCATCTTTTATTGCATTAACCATTGTAACTTACTATTAGATCTAAATGCAGAGAACTGATACAGCCAACGGAGTCTGTCTATGCTGGGAAACATGAAAATAAAATTTCCAATAGCACAATTCAAAATCTCAAGGAAGCAAGCAACTCGTCCACCTCGGAGTTCCGAAGAAGCAGATCTACACCTCGAGGGAAATTTTTTGTTGTTCCTTGAGAAAGGTGTCAGATAAGGTCGTCAGCCACTAATAATTGTGAAGTCTTTGTACAGCTATTCTTATTTCGTGTCTACTGTCCTATACTCTCTATCAAGAAAACTATACGAGGATGAATCCCAGTTGGAGAATGTTTAGTTTGTAGGGAACACACTGGTGTACCAGAACTATTCTCAGTTTGTTTTGACTATTATTTGTGGATAATCAAATTAGCTTTCAGTTCTTGATATGTACACGGAAACTTTCCTAAATATAACTGGAGTATTTAGATAGAGTGTTATTTGAAATATTATTTAGAATAATTACTGAAATACTTTTTATAATGTGATATGTAAAAAGTCTACGTGTCTTTTATTTCCTCTCTTCTCTCAGTTCCTGCTTCCTACACCTCTGTTTTAATCATCAAACATTACAGCCAGAAGAAGGGGCAAAACTTAATTTTCCTGAAAACCCATTAAAGCAAATACAAGTTTGTGTTTTTTTTGCATCGATGTCAAGGTAGGAAGCCAATAGACTTGTGACATTTTACAAGAACCAGCTAACACTAATACCACATGATTAACACCTCGGAGCAGTAGGCAAAATTCCTCCTAATTGAACTTTAAGGAATGCCAAACGACACTTCAAAGTGATCGTCTAGAGATAGAGAAACCGCTGCTTCTACAACACATTATGGGTTGACTGTCAAGGCGTACAGTTGATTATTTTTGCTTCATATATTTATCATCAAATGAATATCAAATTCCATTTGCAATGAGAGTACTTTTGTTTCTTTCCAGAATACATTTCAGCAAAAGCTTGATTTAAGATAAAATTTGGAGCTTATTTACAGTGCCAGAAGTTCGAGGATCCACATAAGATATGGACAACTCGAGGGATAGTTTCTAATCCATGTTATTTTTCCCACTGTTCACTAGGTGAGTCTCATGCCATCTTACATGTTTCATTTTCAAAGACGTTAGATGGTATGATTATTTTATTCAAGGACTCTCAAATTTGGCCACTTGGCATTCTGCCATATGGATTGTACGTAAATGTTTAAAAATTAAGAAAAAAAACAAGAAACCGAGTTTTGAAGTATTTGTTACCAAATAATTTGCTCGGTTCGTAGCAGGACCTTCCACATTATCCAAAATCCCATCTTTGCGATCAATTTAGGCTCTATTAGGGCAAATTGTTGCAGTCATTGGTCTTGGTGTGATTATATTGTATTGAAGAAAGAAATGGTGCAAAAACATTGGTAAATCCTTTAACAAGTACGTGTTTGTTGTATGGTTATAATCTTCATGCACATGTAGGCATCCACCAGAATTCAATCAGAATTTCCAGGCACAATTTTCATCTTGGAAGGTACATGCAAATTCTTGCTCTTTTAGTTGGGCCATGGCTGAATATTTTCTTTCTCGGGGAAATTCAACCGCACCCATGAACAGATTTGTGCCTCTAGATGATTGAAGATGATATCAGATATAGAGAAGATTTTGTATTTCCAGAATGAAAATGGGATATGATATCATCCCTGCTTAAGGAACAATGCATGTTCTGTCGTTTTCACTGTCAAAATAGCGAGGGATGTAAATTTCATGCAAAATACTGAAAAATGGTTGCATTCCCTGTGGAAACTGCATCCTCTTTGGATCCTGAGCAACTTGAGCAGAGACGATTAACGGAGGCCGTGGCAAATGAAAGTATAGAGAATTTTGTAACCTGCATCCACAGGGCCAGACTTGCAGGATTGTCTCGGGACATCATGGTATCATGGTCCAAAAGTTTAATGGGCCACTCTCTTCACATCTTGGTTGAGAACCCTTCTGAGGAAAATCATTCAACATGCAAAATAGATCTCAAAACCTGGCAGTTTTGGGGCAAAAAAGGTCTAAAATCCTTCAAAGTTGGTGAAAGAAGAGTGGATGTCTTTTGGGATTTAAGGACAGCAAAATTTTCCAGCAGCCCGGAACCAGTCTCTGATTACTATGTTGCTTTGGTCTCTGAAAAAGAGCTTGTTTTATTGCTTGGTGATCAAAAGACAGAAGCATATAAAAGAACCAGGTCAAAACCGTCACCGATGGATGCTGCATTAGTGCATAAGAAAGAGAGTGTTTTTGCCAAGAGATGTTTTTGCACCAGAACCATGTTAGGCAAAGGTAAAAGGGAACATCACATCATAATCGAGTCTGCTCTATCAGGGCCTTATGATCCTGAAATGTGGATTAGTGTGGATGGCGTTGAGTCGCTACGAATTCCCAACTTGCATTGGAGATTCAGGGGAAATGAAACTCTATTAGTGGATGACGTGCCTGTACAGATTTTCTGGGATGTGCACGATTGGTTATACAATAGCAATGAATCAGGACCTGGGACATTCATTTTCATGCAAGGTACTCTTGAATGTGAATTTGATAACGACTATGGTGGAAGAAATTTAGACCATGATGCTCCTAGTGGTGAAAATTGTGATTTAAGACCGGAAGAATTATCCTGCACTGAATTCTGCCATTTCCTTTATGCTTGGATGACAGAATGAGTGGGATTATTATGGTCTGGAAATTTTTGTAACATGTACTGGTGATTTTCTCCTTGGTTATCAAATAAAGTGTGTCAGGATTTAGTTTTAGTGAAGTGTCATCAAACTGCATACATCTTGGGTAATCATCCAGCACTTTAAAAAAAAAAAAAAAAAATCTTATTTTGGCTTTCTGATAACATATGGTTTATTTTGGAACTCCCCTGATGAAATCAGCAAATGAACTATCACAGAGCCTGAGGACCTTCAAGCATCCATGAATTAGTGGCCTGCTTGATTCTTTCTAGTAAATAAACAAAGAAATTCAACCCCCTAAATTTTGCCTGTTTCTCATCCAAAATTGAAGCCAAAAGTTTCAACACTTCTTTTTTTTATTAAACTAGTAAAAGGATTAAGTGAGTGGTATATCACTGTCACTACACTTTTTTTTTTTTTAAATTCTTTTTGCCCCCGAAAGCCTTCCATATGTTTCATCAAATAAATTGGAGAACCTAGTGAAGCAATTGGCATCGGGAAGATAACTGGGGTTCTTCCATGTTCTGCACAGTAGAAGTGGGAGTTCAGTCGTTGGGGTGATTATCACAACTGAAAAACGGCTGAAGCGTGCCCATTTCCGAGTGCTAGTGACACTTTGAGTAGCGGGTTCGCTTTTTGAGACTACTCTCTAACGCTATCAGGCACGGATAAAACCTCATAATTCCCACAATTATGCTTTGTTGCCTAGGGTTTTAGTTTTATGATTCCACTCTCAAACTCGAAACCAATAATGGCGATTTCATCTGCAAATCTAATCCCCAGAACTGCAATTCAGCTACAGAGGCAAGTCCTTCTGATTCCCTGGTAAGTAATTCTCCCGTTTCCCTTTCTTTTTCTTTCGAGAAAAAAAAATATTAATCCTGGGAATTCTAGTACAAAGTTAGAGTTTTGTTCTTATATTTGGAATTGTGGAGAGAACGCAGGCGATGGTTTTTTCGATGTACAAACTTGATTGTAGTGAAAAAGACTCGAACTTTTACTTGTTAGGGTGAAAAAGAAGATGAAGATGGGAATTATTAGCTGTTCAAGGAGGAGAGACTACAGCAATTCGGTTCCAGTAAGGTACATTCCTAAGAAATTGTTAGAAAATAAAGAACCAGAAGCTTCTTTTTATTCTCCCTCAAATGGATTAGGTGATGTGAAAATACATGGTACTAATAGTTCGGAATCAAATGGCAAAAGATTTGAACTTTCCAAAAGTGAGCAGACTTCATGCAGTACAAGGGGCTTTGTTTTAGGTTCCAAGCTTCGAAATCTAAATGAAAATGCAATTCACAACATAAGCAATGATGTGACATTGGATGGTGGTAGAGTTGTTGAGTCAAATGTACCAAGGATTGGAATTTCGGATAGTGCGCAGACATCTTGCAGTAGCAGGGGCTTTGTTGCTGACACGGAGTTTCAATACCAAAAAGAAAGAGAAAAGCCAGTTACTGGATTGGATACAAGTAAAGTTGTTCAATCAAATCTAGAGGGAATGGAACATTTTAAAGGTGCACAGACTTCTTGCAGTAGCACGAGCTTTGTTGTGGACATGGAGTTTCAAAGTCAAATCGAAAAGCCAACTAACAGTTTGAAAGCTGATGTTGGATTGGATACAATTACAGTTGCTGGATCAAATGAGGACAGACGTGAACTTTCCAAACGTGCTCAAACCTCATGCAGTGGCAGAAGCTTTGTTGTTGGTGCAGAGTTTCTGAATGAGAATGAAAAGCCAATTGATAACTTAGACTGTGATGTTGGTTCAGCTTCAAATAGAGCTGTTCGATCAAATATACAAAGAAGTGAACTTTCCAAGAGTGTGCAGACATCATGCAGCAGCAGGAGCTTTGTGGGGGACACTGAGTTTCAAGATCAAAATGAAAACCCAATTAACAGCATAAAAAATAATATTGAATTTGGTACAAGTAGAGTTGTTCAATCAAATGAACAGAGACGTGATCTTTCCAAAAGTGCACAGACTTCAAGCTGTGGCCAGATTTGTATTGTAGATAACAAGTTTCAAAGCCAATATGCAAAAAGAATTGATTATGATGCTGGATTGGGTAGGACTTTTGATACGCTTATCTCATAGATATTTTTTCGATTGGTAGAGTTCAATTGAGATACTTAGCGACATCTTCCATTTTTAGGGATTGGAGGAGAACTTGATGATCATATGCAGTATGACAGCTACGAGGTCATGGAGGAACTCGAAGGTTTTTCGGAAGAGGAGAGCAATCAAGACCATAGGATTCAAGGATCTCGAATAAAGAAAGATGTTGAGAAGTTGGCCATTGAATTACTTGCTACGAGGTGGTAAAGCTTCACAGGTTTATTGATTTTCTGCTAAGTATGGGCAACCTTATGCATTTCTTATATGAGCAGGAGTAACTTCTGAGACAATTTTCGCCATGTTAATACTTATTACATGTCCTGAAGTGGACCTTATGTTTGGTCCTGTCATTTGATTCCAGCGTAATATAATAATTCCACTGCAACATGCTACAATGGCCATGAGAATGTGTTCACTACTCGAAAATGAGTATGGCTTCCAATTTAGTTCATGTGGAGAATTTAAAAAGTTTTGTCTTTTTCTGTTTTTATTCTATCCTCAGATTCATTACTTAGTAATAAAATTTTAAGTCACTAAATAGTCAAACTCGATCTTGCTACACAATATATGCCACTGATGAACTTTTGTTACTAAACTGTGCATTTATCCTTTAGAGCTTATACAGCTGTGGAGCTAAGAAAGAAACTGCTGGGGAAGGAATTTCCAGTTTGGGTTGTTGATGCAGTAATAACTGACTTTCAGACCAGGTGCATAACTTGAAATTCTCTGTCTGCTGCTTATCTGAGTACAAAAACGAACCAAAAAATCTTACATGGATGCACAATTTCTGGTAAAGAAGCTTGATGGTCTTTATACTAGTTGCTGTAATGATTTCATGGCTTTTCGTTAGAAAATACCAACCATGCTACCCCAAATTGCACATAAATAACCTAAAGTTCATCTTTTCTGCAAGTCTTCAATGTTTGTAGCTTACTGCAGAGGCTTTATCAATGATGGCTTGTATGCGGAAACATTTTCCCGTTCTAGATGGTCGTCCTCAACTTGGGGTCCGAGGCGACTAAAAAAGGTAAATTGTGCTCTTCTTTAAATCACTTTTCCTGTTTAGATGTTGAGGCAAAATGCCATATTGATATGCTTTTGAAGTAATGTATTCAAGATTTTGCTAATATTACCCTTTTCCCATATTCAGACCTCTATTGCTGGAAAGTTGGCCACTAAAATTACCATTCAAAATGTGAGAAACCTCCTATGGACCCTAATATCTAAACAGTGGATAGGCTTAAGAAGACTTCTTCATCCTGTTTATTGTTATTAATACACTGGGCATGATCTGTGGTCTCTAATGTTAAGGAGTGGATAGGCTCAAGAAGACTTCTTTATCCTGTTAATTTTTATCAAGCATTGGGCATGCTGTTTTGGTATTTCAGCATCTGCCGGTCTATCCACATAGGCCACTGACACCTCCGATAATCTGTTAAATCCCAACGGACCCTTTCTTTTATCTAGTTATTAGAGAAGGTTTGGTTTAGAGGTAGCTTTATCTTTGTTCTTGCACCTTTTTTATTTGCTGCATACAAAAGAAAAAATGGTGGTATAAGAGATCAGATGTATGATGTTTATCATTTGACTGAGATGCTACCAATGTTGATGTTTATCATTTGACTGAGATGTTTATCATTTCGTTGCATTCCTAGTAGTTCATATCTAGAATTCAAAAACATAGGCATCACTCCAGTAGTTCATATCTAGTAATAAGAAACATAGGCATCACTAGTAACACACATGCTATAATTGCTAATTATGGAAAAAATAAAGAGAATTCAGCTAAGAATTCTGACAAACACTTGGATATCAAAAACAACGAAAGTCAGTAACTTTCAAAAACATGAGGAACTAGAACTTTAAATAATAGTATAAGATAGCCCAATATTAATATGTGAAAGAGCAAGAAAGCACTAACCCAGAAGCCAGCTCCTCAGGTTGAGGTAACGTTAAACATCCCATCGCGCGAGTAAAAGTGAAAAATCAAACTAGGTATCTCTTCCAATAAAAACCAAAACTTTCATAATTACGAGGAAAACAAGAAGGGCTAAAGGTCAAACAATACTAGCTTTCACGAAGGAAAAAGGCGAAGGCTTTATGTGAAATGCCATGTTTGGTGAGGAACCCAACCGGGTAGACCCCTTTATCTTTATCAGCATGCTGGGTTTGGCTTACCTTAGCAGCTCCAACATTGCTTCTTTGGGGAATCCGAAACTGCTGCGTTTCCGGGAAGGGTTCCATTTTTGCCGGCTTGGAATAGGAATTTGAGAGGAGGATATTCCTCCGAATTGGTGGAAAGTAATGAAATTTTAGTCGAGTTCGTCAATGATGCCATCATAATCGATGCTGCTAAATTTTTGCCGCAGTTTGCAAGTATAGAGAGCAGAGGCAGTAGAAAAGTAAGAGAGAGGAGTTTTGTGCAGTTAAATGAAATTGATTTTTTTTCTTTTTTGGTAAATAAAGATGCATTAAAATAAAAAGTGAATTGTACGGAGTAACAGTTGAATGAAATTAATTACAGTCAGGTGGCATGGCACAAGGACTCGTGTGGTAACAGTTGAATGAAATTAATTACAGTCAGGTGGCATGGCGCAAGGACTTTGGATTGAGACTTTTTGCATAAAGTTATCCTAGTCTGGTGCCTAGTTCCATCTCTGGGGTTGAGGTTTGTGGCTTGGCTTGTGGCTTGTGGTCTAGTGCCTGGGTTCCAGCTTCAGCTTGTGAGCTCGAGTTTTGTGGCTTATGGAGTGGCTTGTTGTAAAGACGAAAAGAAGCCTATTAGCTAAACGTTCTATCTCGCTAAACGGGGTTAATGTAGTAATTTCAACTTGCCCTAGGGTTTGCCAGCAAAGTACAAGTCAGACTGCAAAGCTGCTATAAATCACAACTTATCTCCGTTACTTCGTAGTTTGCCTGTTCTCCACCTCTTCTTCTTCTTCTTCTTCTTCTTCTTCTCTCTGTCTCTCTCTCTCTCCCCCCAACCCGTTTACTCAACCTAAACCACCACCAATTCCTGATTTCGTATGAGTCATCTCCTCCTCCTCATAAAAATCAAAAGGAAAAAGGAAAAAAAACTCCATCGCTTTCTCCTACTACCTCTTGCTTCTCAAATCCCTGGATATGATTCTTCTATATGTCAAATTCCTGTATCTGATTTGATTGCTTTTATATGTTTAGATCTGGCCTACTTCTACCTGTTAGTCGCTCCAGTGGCATCTTCACCTTCAGATGGCGTTAATTGGTATGAAGACGGGGAAGGTGTTCATAAATGAGGCAAACACCCTCACAGAGAGCAAGGTTGACAACACCTGTCTATACTTTTCTTTCTTCCTAGTCCAAGATTTCATCTTTTAACCGAAAAACAGGAAAAAAATTGAAAACGCCGCATCGCCTCCTCCTATCACCTCTTGCTTAATTCCTTCTATATTTCAAATTCCTGTATCTAATTGGATTGCTCTTATATGTTTCGATCTGGCCTACTTCCACCTGTTAGTCGCTCCAGAGGCATCTTCACCTTCATATGGGGTTAATTGGTATGAAGACGGGGAAGGTGTTCACAAATCAGGCAAACACACTCACAGAGAGCAAGGTTGACACCTCTGTCTATATTTTTCCTTCTTCCTAGCCCAAGATTTCATCTTTTGACCGAAATGCAGAAAAAAAAAATAAAATTAAAAAAGGCGCATCGCTTCCTCCTACTACCTCTTGTTTCTCAAATTCCTGGATATGATTTAATTCCTTCTATATGTCAAATTCCTATATCTGATTTGATTGCTTTTATATGTTTAGATCTGGCCTATTCCATCTGTTAGTTGCTCCTCTGTTAATCGCTCCAGTGGCATCTTCACCTTCAGATGGCTTTAATTGGTATGAAGACGGGGAAGATGTTCACAAATCAGGCAAACACCCTCACAGAGAACAAGGTTCGCACTTGTGTACGAATCAAGATTTTATTTTTAACCAGATACCTCTTCCGTCTATTATTCCGATCCAATATTTCATCTTTAACCGAAAACGGATACCTCTTCTACTTACCAATTCAAGATTTGATCTTTAACAAAACTTCTTGTCTTGTATTTTTCCTATCTTTACCCAAAACGGATTTCGCCTATAATTTTTTTTGATACTTTGTGGTAAGTGCGATTGTCCTTTTTCTTGAATTTTTTTTTGAAATAGTTTTGTTTTAAAATTATTTTGACTCACCCTAATTTTTTGAGCCCAAAAAATCAAATGTTGTTTTGGGCCTATTCGTGATAGAACCCAAAACAAACATTTGTTTTGGGCTCTCACGTTTGGACCCAAAAAATATTTAAGTTTTTTGTGATGGATGTACTAAGTCAGGAGACGAACATTTTTCCACCATTTTGCCCACTATTTTTGTGATCATTTGTTTTGGGCTCTGTAACATTTGGATCCAAAAAATATACAAGTTTTTTGTGATGGACGTACTAATTCAGAAGACTACATTCTCTCTCTTTTTTCTTTCTCTTCCTTTTCCGGCAAGGGCCAAATGGTAACATTTTTCCACCATCTTGCCTACAATTTTTGTGATCAGATCTGGAACTTTGGCCCATACATTAATAAGTTTTTGAGCCCATTATAAAAATTGTTAACCCTAATCCTCTGCAGAAGTCTAACTATGCTACGTACGCCTCCTTTTTGCCCTTTTTCCCTCTCTCATGTTTTCATGTCATTTTTGGATTTTTAATGTCATTTTTTGCTGTGTAGGTTTTCCTAGATTGCCGTTGTTATCTGCACTTGCACCTGATGCTGATGTTAAAGGTATTGGTATTTATTTTTTATTTTATTTTTATGGAGAAGATTGTAATAATTTTTTTAATTTATTGTGATTTCTTTTTTATGGAGATCTAATATTGGTTTATTCCTTTCAGTTTTTAGTTTTTTGAGTTTAATATTTGTTGATTTTTTTTGTTTTAATATTTGTTGATTTTTTTTTCAAGGGTCTGCTATCCCCCCATTTTTCCGTCTACATATGGCTGGGACGGAGAATCTGCATTTGAAGAAGGGCAGGTTAGTACGTTAATATTACGGCAAAATGGGGGGATAGCAGACCCTTGAAAAAAAAATCAACAAATATTAAAACAAAAAAAAACAACAAATATTAAACCCAAAAAACTAAAAACTGAAAGGAATAAACCAATATTAGATCTCCATAAAAAAGAAATCACAATAAATTAAAAAAATTATTACAACCTCCTCCATAAAAATAAAATAAAAAAATAAATACCAATACCTTTAGCATCAGCATCAGGTGCAAGTGCAGATAACAACGGCAATCTGGGAAAACCTACACAGCAAAAAATGACATTAAAAATCCAAAAATGACATAAAAACATGAGAGAGGGAAAAAGGGCAAAAAGGAGGCGTACGTAGCATAGTTAGACTTCTGCAAAGGAGACATGAAAACATGAGAGAGGGAAAAAGGGCAAAAAGGAAGCGTACGTAGCATAGTTAGACTTCTGCAGAGGATTAGGGTTAACAATTTTTATAATGGGCTCAAAAACTTATTAATCTATGGGACAAAATTTCAGATCTGATCACAAAAATTGTAGGAGAGATGGTGGAAAAATGTTACCATTTGGCCCTTGCCAGAAAAGGAAGAGAAAGAAAAAAGAGAGAATGTAGTCTTCTGAATTAGTACGTCCATCACAAAAAACTTGTATATTTTTTGGATCCAAATGTTACAGAGCCCAAAACAAATGATCACAAAAATGGTGGAAAAATGTTCGTCTCCTGACTTAGTACATCCATCACAAAAAACTTAAATATTTTTTGGATCCAAATGTGAGAGTCCAAAACAAATGTTTGTTTTGGATTCTATCACGAATAGGCCCAAAACAACATTTGATTTTTTGGGCTCAAAAAATTAGGGTGAGTCAAAATAATTTTAAAACAAAACTATTTCAAAAAATAATTCAAGAAAAAGGACAATCGCACTTACCACAAAGTATCAAAAAAAATTATAGGCGAAATTGTTAGACTTCTGCAGAGGATTCTCTACGTACGCCTCCTTTTTGCCCTTTTTCCCTCTCTCATGTTTTCATGTCATTTTTGAATTTTTAATGTCATTTTTTGCTGTGTAGGTTTTCCCAGATTGCCGTTGTTATCTGCACTTGCACCTGATGCTGATGCTAAAGGTATTGGTATTTATTTTTTTATTTTATTTTTATGGAGGAGATTGTAATAATTTTTTTAATTTATTGTGATTTCTTTTTAATGGAGATCTAATATTGGTTTATTCCTTTCAGTTTTTAGTTTTTTGGGTTTAATATTTGTTGTTTTTTTTGTTTTAATATTTGTTGATTTTTTTTTCAAGGGTCTGCTATCCCCCCATTTTGCCGTAACATTAACGTACTAACATGCCCTTCTTCAAATGCAGATTCTCCGTCCCAGCCATATGTAGACGGCAAAATGGGGGGATAGCAGACTCTTGAAAAAAAAATCAACAAATATTAAAACAAAAAAAATCAACAAATATTAAACCCAAAAAACTAAAAAGTGAAAGGAATAAACCAATATTAGATCTCCATAAAAAAGAAATCACAATAAATTAAAAAAATTATTACAATCTTCTCCATAAAAATAAAATAAAAAATAAATACCAATACCTTTAACATCAGCATCAGGTGCAAGTGCAGATAACAACGGCAATCTGGGAAAACCTACACAGCAAAAAATGACATTAAAAATCCAAAAATGACATGAAAACATGAGAGAGGGAAAAATGGCAAAAAGGAGACTTACGTAGCATAGTTAGACTTCTGCAGAGGAGACATGAAAACATGAGAGAGGGAAAAAGGGCAAAAAGGAGGCGTACGTAACATAGTTAGACTTCTGCAGAGGATTAGGGTTAACAATTTTTATAATGGGCTCAAAAACTTATTAATCTATGGGCCAAAGTTCCAGATCTGATCACAAAAATTGTAGGCAAGATGGTGGAAAAATGTTACCATTTGGCCCTTGCCGGAAAAGGAAGAGAGAGAATGTAGTCTTCTGAATTAGTACGTCCATCACAAAAAACTTGTATATTTTTTGGATCCAAATGTTATAGAGCCCAAAACAAATGATCACAAAAATAGTGGGCAAAATGGTGAAAAAATGTTCGTCTCCTGACTTAGTACATCCATCACAAAAAACTTAAATATTTTTTGGGTCCAAACGTGAGAGCCCAAAACAAATGTTTGTTTTGGGTTCTATCACGAATAGACCCAAAACAACATTTGATTTTTTGGGCTCAAAAAATTAGGGTGAGTCAAAATAATTTTAAAACAAAACTATTTCAAAAAAAAATTCAAGAAAAAGGACAATCGCACTTACCACAAAGTATCAAAAAAAATTATAGGCGAAATCCGTTTTGGGTAAAGATAGGAAAAATACAAGACAAGAAGTTTTGTTAAAGATCAAATCTTGAATTGGTAAATAGAAGAGGTATCCGTTTTCGGTTAAAGATGGAATATTGGATCGGAATGGTAGACGGAAGAGGTATCTGGTTAAAAATAAAATCTTGATTCGTACACAAGTGCGAACCTTGTTCTCTGTGAGGGTGTTTGCCTGATTTGTGAACATCTTCCCCGTCTTCATACCAATTAAAGCCATCTGAAGGTGAAGATGCCACTGGAGCGATTAACAGAGGAGCGACTAACAGATGGAATAGGCCAGATCTAAACATATAAAAGCAATCAAATCAGATATAGGAATTTGACATATAGAAGGAATTAAATCATATCCAGGAATTTGAGAAACAAGAGGTAGTAGGAGGAAGCGATGCGCCTTTTTTAATTTTGTTTTTTTTTTTCTGCATTTCGGTCAAAAGATGAAATCTTGGGCTAGGAAGAAGGAAAAATATAGACAGAGGTGTCAACCTTGCTCTCTGTGAGTGTGTTTGCCTGATTTGTGAACACCTTCCCCGTCTTCATACCAATTAACCCCATATGAAGGTGAAGATGCCTCTGGAGCGACTAACAGGTGGAAGTAGGCCAGATCGAAACATATAAGAGCAATCCAATTAGATACAGGAATTTGAAATATAGAAGGAATTAAGCAAGAGGTGATAGGAGGAGGCGATTGGGCGTTTTCAATTTTTTTCCTGTTTTTCGGTTAAAAGATGAAATCTTGGACTAGGAAGAAGGAAAAGTATAGACAGGTGTTGTCAACCTTGCTCTTTGTGAGGGTGTTTGCCTCATTTATGAACACCTTCCCCGTCTTCATACCAATTAACGCCATCTGAAGGTGTGCTGGAGCGACTAACAGGTGGAAGTAGGCCAGATCTAAACATATAAAAGCAATCAAATCAGATACAGGAATTTGACATATAGAAGGATCATATCCAGGGATTTGAGAAGCAAGAGGTAGTAGGAGAAGGCGATGGAGTTTTTTTTCCTTTTTCCTTTTGATTTTTATGAGGAGGAGATGACTCATACGAAATTAGGAATTGGTGGTCATTTAGGTTGAGTAAACGGGTTAGGGGGAGAGAGAGAGAGACAGAGAGAAGAAGAAGAAGAGGTGGAGAACAGGCAAACTACGAAGTGACGGAGATAAGTTGTGATTTATAGCAGCTTTGCAGTCTAACTTGTACTTTGCTGGCAAACCCTAGGGCAAGTTGAAATTACTACATTAACCCCGTTTAGCGAGATAGAACGTTTAGCTAATAGGCTTCTTTTCGTCTTTACAATAAGCCACTCCATAAGCCACAAAGCTCGAGCTCACAAGCTGAAGCTGGAACCCAGGCACTAGACCACAAGCCACAAGCCACAAGCCACAAGCCAAGCCACAAACCTCAACCCCAAAGATGTAACTAGGCACCAGACTAGGATAACTTTATGCAAAAAGTCTCAATCCAAAGTCCTTGCGCCATGCCACCTGACTGTAATTAATTTCATTCAACTGTTACCACACGAGTCCTTGCGCCATGCCACCTGACTGTAATTAATTTCATTCAACTGTTACTCCGTACAATTCACTTTTTATTTTAATGCATCTTTATTTACCAAAAAAGAAAAAAAAATCAATTTCATTTAACTGCACAAAACTCCTCTCTCTTACTTTTCTACTGCCTCTACTCTCTATACTTGCAAACTGCGGCAAAAATTTAGCAGCATCGATTATGATGGCATCATTGACGAACTCGACTAAAATTTCATTACTTTCCACCAATTCGGAGGAATATCCTCCTCTCAAATTCCTCTTCCGAGCCGGCAAAAATGGAACCCTTCCCGGAAACGCAGCAGTTTCGGATTCCCCAAAGAAGCAATGTTGGAGCTACTAAGGTAAGCCAAACCCAGCATGCTGATAAAGATAAAGGGGTCTACCCGGTTGGGTTCCTCACCAAACATGGCATTTCACATAAAGCCTTCGCCTTTTTCCTTCGTGAAAGCTAGTATTGTTTGACCTTTAGCCCTTCTTGTTTTCCTCGTAATTATGAAAGTTTTGGTTTTTATTAGAAGAGATACCTAGTTTGATTTTTCACTTTTACTCGCGCGATGGGATGTTTAACGTTACCTCAACCTGAGGAGCTGGCTTCTGGGTTAGTGCTTTCTTTCTTTTTCACATATTAATATTGGGCTATCTTATACTATTATTTAAAGTTCTAGTTCCTCATGTTTTTGAAAGTTACTGACTTTCGTTGTTTTTGATATCCAAGTGTTTGTCAGAATTCTTAGCTGAATTCTCTTTATTTTTTCCATAATTAGCAATTATAGCATGTGTGTTACTAGTGATGCCTATGTTTCTTATTACTAGATATGAACTACTGGAGTGATGCCTATGTTTTTGAATTCTAGATATGAACTACTAGGAATGCAACGAAATGCACAGCATCGGGTGGATTTCTTGGAGTGGGCTCCAGGTTTGACAACATCTCTGAGGATATTGTTTGTATGAGGGCAAGTGTCTTTTCTTGCTTAGTTCAAATTCGAGCTCGTTGGTGGGCGTATCTGGAAGCTTATCTAAGAGATGTTTTAGTTTTAGACACCATGTAAGAGTAGTTCATGTCTAGAAGTTTTAGTTTAAATATCTGGAAGCTTAAATATCAGTCTTAAAATGTTTTTATAGATGTTAGTTTAGGATTAGGATTTAGCATCTCCACTTTAAGTTCAGACATGTGTTGTTTCTGAATGCAATTACCATTGCTTGTGAAGCTCATATGTGAAGCTGAAAATCTTGACATTCAGTGCTTGTTATTGTGCTATTGTTGGATATTTTAATGGCTGGTCACCCACTGAAAATTGTGCCAGGGAAGGTCATTTTGGCCATGATGACTATGGTTACTGGTTTATGATTTTTGAAGACATTTACGGAAGGTGAAGAACCAGATGAATACTACTTTCAACAGTACAATTATGTGGATGATTATGATAAAGGTGACAATGGGATTACAATGGAAGAGATGTTTAAGAAAGCAAATGATGAATATTGGGAACCTGGTGAAAACCGCTTCATTAAGTCACATTATGAGGTGGCAGCTAAGCTGTATGAGCAGATATTTGGCCCTAATGGGCCTCAAACAAAAGAGGAGCTGGAAGAGATAGCTGATCTGGGGACTAGGTAAAAGGCCTGGAAAGTGCAGCATGGAGATGATTTATCAAGCAATTTACCTTCTACTCACGTGATAGAGACTGGAATGAAAGAATATGATGTTTTCAACATCATAGACGATCCCATATGGCTAGAGAAATTCCATTCTAAGAGTCCTCCCATTGCCAACTGGTTGAAGACTCATAAAGGAAGGAAATTGTGGTTGAAAAAGTATATGCCTGGTATCCCCCACAGGAGCAAATATAGAGTATATTGTAATACTCCAGCGGGGCCTCTGGAAAGGGTTCCTGCCTGGGCCATTTATGTAGTCCCAGGTATCCAGTGGTTGCTAGCATCTCTTATCTGTTCACGTAGTTTGCAAAGTGATGCTTAAATAGTATAATTTAATGCTCACACTATTGTACGCCACTTCACTTGTAAAGGTAATCATTTTCATGGTTCGAACATGTGTTCCATTAATTTTTGTTTTTTGGAGGTACATTGCTGACCATGTACTCTCTTTACTTTTGAAGTAACTTTACTTGGCAACATTAATTGCTCTGCTTAACTTGATTTTGGTCTCAGAAATGAACTTATTCGGGTGATATTCTTGTGTCAGTATAGGTATTTTCCTTTTAGTGGTAGTAAAACAAGTTTCATGAGAAAAAGCAATACTAGTTAATTTTTTGTATTCCTACAAAGATAGAGGCAAAACACAAAGTTTTGACATTCATGCTGCACTGATGTCAGAGTTAAATGAAGAATGTATCCTTACCTCTAATTGACTTCCCATCATTGCCACACACCTTTTTTTATTGATTTTGTTTTGTGTATCATTTATTTCTGTGCTGTCATCCTGTAGCAGTTCAATATTGAATGCTATTTGAACATGCAGATGAAGATCGCAAGCAAGCTTTCGCAATCCACTGGGAACTGCCTTCTGAATCTAAATATAAATGGAAGCACGAGAATCGACCAAAGCCAAAGTCTTTACGCATATGTGAATGTCATGTTGGAATTAGTGGACAAGATGCAAAAGTTGCATCTTGTGATACTTTCATTCAAAAGGCAATTCTTCAAGTTATTTTACTTTTTTTTTTTTTTTTGCTTTTGTTGTCTTTATTTCCTGTTATATTCTGCCCTTTAATTGCAACTTCATCTTTATAGGTCCTGCCACACGTAAAAGAATCTGGTTACAATGCAATCCAATTGATTGGACTTGTTGAGCACAAAGACTACTTTTATAGAGTGAGTTCGGAATTAGATGTTCATTATCCATATTCCTTCATGAAGTAATAACCAAGTGTTGAACTACAATCTCTTAATGTACCATGACATGAATCTTTTCTTGAATTTGGTAATTAGTACCATATTGTTTTACTTGCATAAATCTTCCTGTGGAATTAGGATTTGAAAAGGCTGCAAGATAGGACTATCAAATTGGAAATATATTTGTGACCTATTGATCTTTTGGATGAAGTATATTTTGACGGGTCTCATGCATTCTCCATTATACAGTGAACTCCTGGACCGAATGCAGACTTAGAAAACCTGCTTTTTACTGCAGACAGAATTCAAATGTGCTAGAATGCATCCTCTAATATTTCTACTCACTGAGTGTCCTAAGAGATGTACATGCTCAGATTGAAAATATTTTCACTTATGCAACTCGGTTATCCAACGGATTTTCTAGTTCAGTAAAAGCTGACTGCTGTCAAATTACCTTTTCAGTAGCATAATATTTCAATTCTTCAACAGGTGACTAATTTTTATGCTGTTAGCAGCTGTTATGGTACGCTAGAGGACCTTAAGCGCTTGGTTGACTTAGCACATGGTAATTTTTGAAAATTGACTTGTAATTCATAGAAATATGCATGTGCTTCTTTGCTTTTCTCTGATGACCTATAACTTCTATCTTTCATCATTTGTGTGCCAATATTTAATCTATACCTGTTGAAAAAAATACCTATTGTGAAATTTGTCATCTATTATCAGAATAAGGAAAAGAATTGGTTCTCTTAATTTTCAGTTAAAAAAATTAACTTGTAAGATTTTAGAAGAAATTACTAAAGCCATTCTCCCCTTTAAGTGTGGAAGTGACTTTTATATATTCATATTGAGAAATGTTCTTCATAAACAAATTAGTTTTCTTTTAAG